ATGGGATAGCATGCGATCTATGGGTTGGTTTCATGTTACTGATTTTTACAAGTACCCATTGAGCATGGGGATAGCATGGGATCTATGGGTTGGTTTCATGTTACAGAGTATTATGATCCCATTGAGCATGGAAATAGCTAGAAGTTAGTCCTATCAGTCTATCACAACGATCAGCACTTCAGACAAAAATTTGAGCCACAAATCCATATTACTCGTATTGTTTAAAGAATTGTGGATTCTAACAGCTTCACTGTCTTCGTGTATAAGAAAATGATACTCGTACTATGATGTTAATTTTAACAAAAAAAATCACCTACACAACCCATCAACAAGAAGGTTAGTAGCTCCATATGTGGGAAACCCTTTGTAAATTGTAAGTACACAAAAATGGTGTAAATTATGGAGCATCGGATTGAAAAACAGCCTGCTGAAAACTTAAAATTTGAATCTCGATTTTCGCAGTCACTAAAGCAAAGCCTAGCAAATGAAGGAAAACGGCTGGGTTAAAAAAACTAACTGAAGCAGATGAGGCCACCAAGGGCACCGATGATGGAGAAGTGGACGGTCCGGCGAAGCGCCAAATCGAGGCAAGCGTCCCATTTGGCGTTAATATCGTACGCCGTCGGTGATACGATTTCGTGCTTCTGGTTCTCTTCCGCCATAGCCGCCACGTTCAAGTAATTAAAACAGCTCTCTTTGTCGGGTATTCAAGATCGAATAGTTTGTTGAAACTCGAAATACAATTCTCCACCCTTTTGGGCTAATTACGGTTTGGGAATGTCATTAAATTGAATGTCATCATTACAAATACGGTTCGTTTTTCTTCGGTTTCGATTCGGTTTCGGTTTATTCGGGTTGAGAGAATTTGTACCAAACTAAAACCATTTGTGTTTCGGTTTGGTTTTAGTTCGGTTCGGTTTGAAATTCGGTTTACCAAAGTAAAAAATATTATCTATTATGTTTAATTTAGTTTGGTTTGATTCATTTGCTTATGTTTATTACTCCCTCCGTCCCTTATTAAACTTCCAAATAGGTTTGGCACACAGTTTAAGATAGTGGGTTTTGTGTGGTGAAGAGTTGTGCAGAGGAGAGAGAAATGTTTAAGAATTGTTGTGAACCACACATTCTGGCCAAAAAGGGAAAGTGGAAGTTTTAATTAGGACGGACGAAAAAGGAAAGTTGGAAGTTTATTTATGGACGGAGAGAGTATTTTATTTGATCAAGTTTTATATTTTAGAATTAGAAAATGAAAGTAGTAGTCCATCTCATCTATTTTAATTTATTGATTGTTTAAATAAAATGTCGGAAATAAAAGATAGAAAAATAAATAATAAAATATTATAAACTAAAACTTCTAACATCTTTTTTATCACTACAAAAAATTCACTTCTTGCAAAAAATAAGATAGTTGATTTTAGCATTTGTAATATCACATAAAATATTCAAAAAACCTAAAAGAGTCGGTGATTCAAATGTTGTAATATTCACAATTTTATTCAAATGAATCATGTAAAAATATAAATACAATTTGTTATTGTTATCGCCAAACATAATAAATACTCCGTACAAATATGTCGTATTAGCTAACTTTGTCATAATGAATGTATGAAATGTGTAAAAATTAAAATGACACGAGTATTTGCTCAAATATGTATATTCATGTCTAAATTATTTATTTATATCTTAAAAATGAAAAGTGAAGATAAATGCAAAGTATATATGTGTGTGTGTATTTGTTGTTTGGTGTTCGGTTTACGGTTTTTTCGTTTTCAACCAAACCAAAGTACCAAACCATTCGGTTTGAGCAAATGTTTACCAAATGGTTTACTTAAGTAAATCCAAATCAAACCACCAATGTTAATAATATATGATTTTTTTTTAGTTTCTTTAGTCTGGTTCGGTTCGGTTCGATTTAATACGGTTTGAAAGAAATAGTACCAAACTCAAACCAAATTGCATACGGTCCGGTTTCGGTTCGGTTTAATTCAGTTTGGTACGGTTCGGTTCGGTTAAACCAAACCGTTATGTCCACCCCTAGTAAAAGGAATACATATGAGTAATTTTTATTCTTTATTCTTTAAATATGATTATCATACTCTCTTCTTTAAATATGAGTAATTTTTGACATATTTTGATACTAGATTCTAAAGAAGACGACATTTTTCAAGCTTTGGGAGACCTATTTATGAATTAAAAAATGATAGTTCTATTTGTATTTCCAAAATTTTAACTCTTTTTTCGATATCTCACTTTAAAAATATCACTTAAACAATAATTATTAGGAAATATGATTTAAAAATTATGATGAGTAGTGTCATGATCATTTATCACATTTTTTTTATTTGCATTTGCTATTTCCTCCTTTCCATTAGCTTCTCATGGGAGTGTTTGCGATTGCTTTTACTTTAAAAAATAATTATTTAAAGTGATTTTTGAAAAAGAGTTTAATACGGAGTAGTAAAAGTTGGTAGTATTTGAGAAAAACATATTTTTGAAAAGATAAAAGTTGGTAGTTTTTGATAAAATAAGTGCTTTTTGTATAGTAGAAAAAGTGAAAAGCAATTTAAAGCACCTCTCTACCAGCTTCCAGCTTTTAGCGTTAAAGTGCTTTTTGAAAGTAGAAGTAGACATTAGCAAACACTTTTTTCGGCTTATTTTAAGTTGGCTAAAGGGGTCAAATGGGCCCTTGAACTGACCTAAAGTGTTCAATTAGCCCCTTATATAGGAGGTTCTGCCCGGCCGTCGCCAATTGGGGCGGTTCCCGGTGGACTTTTTTGATGAAATTTTTTGAGAATCTTCTTCATTAAGTCTAGTTTACTCATACCAAATTTCAGATAAAAATTCAACCGGGAAGGCAGTCAAATGATTTTGTGAAGATAACTGCGAAGTTAAACAGCGCGGTACATTTCGAAAAATCATTTGACTGCCTTCCCGGTTGAATTTTTAGCTGAAATTTGGTATGGGTAAACTAGACTTAATGAAGAAGATGCTCAAAAAAATTCATCAAAACATTCCACCGGGAACCGCCCCAATTAGCGACGGCCGGGCAGAACCTCCTATATAAGGGGCTAATTGAACACTTTAAGTTAGTTCAAGGGCCTATTTGACCCTTTAGCTGAAATTTGGTATGAATAAACTAGACTTGATGAGTAACATTCTGAAAAACATTCATCAAAAAATTATATCGGGAAGGTCCCCAAATGACCTCAACCTGACGACGATTTCTGTCCGGCTGGCCTGATAGCCCTCCTCATTACAAAATATATTTCTTTTGGGACAAGAAATTTCTATGTTGAGGAACACTTTTTTCATTCTTTTTAAATTGCTGCTCCTACAGGGAATTATTAGGTTTAGGAACACTTTTTCATTTTTTTTAATTTTCTGGTTCTACTTAATTTTAAGTTTTTTTTTTATTTAATTTTACCGAGCTTAAGCTAAAATATGCAAACAGAAATGGTGGTTTAAAACTTTAAATTACTTTGAATTTTATACTCATAATCATACTAAAAAGAAGTGTGCCATAAATTTCAATTACTACTTTTTAAAGGAACTTTGTTTTTCAAAAGCTACCAAATGTTACTGTTAAGCAATTTTCATACTACACATAATTTATAAAGTGTTTTTCTACAAGTACTACTACAATAACAACAACAATAACATCTAAGCCTGAGTCTCAAAAGATATTGGGATCGGCTAACATGAATCGATACATGATATCACCACCAAATAAAAAAGAAACAAAATAAAGATAAAAAGATAAGCTATTATAAAAAAAGATAATATAAAAAGAGACAAATATACATAAAATGATAAAATAAAAAGGATAAAAATAATGTATATATAAAAGGATAAAAGGAAAAAAATAAAATAAAAAAAATAAAAGAGATGAGCGGTAAAGATGATACGCGATCACTCCTAGACACGAATTCTCGCCCTCCACTTTGCTCTCTCCAAAGATATACTCTCATCCAACCCTAGAAGAAGCATATCACTTCGAATTCCCCTAATGCACGTCTGTTTGGGCCTTCCTCCCCCTCTCTTCCCTGCCTCTTCTCCACACATCGATCTCAACTCGTCTGACAGGTGCATCATTCAGTCTTCTACGCACATGACCAAACTACTGTAGGCATGACTCCCGCATGTTGTCTTCAATAGGTGCTACTCCCACCCTTTGTCTGATTATCTCATTCCTCATGTAGTCCTTCCTAGTATGCCCACACATCCAACGCAGCGTGCACATCTCTGTCACACTCATCTTTTGAATGTGACATTGTTTCACCGCTTAACACTCTATGCCCTACAGTAATGCAGGCCTAATTGATGTCCTATAAATACAGTATTTTTCCACAAATACTATTGAAATGAAATTTATTTACAAAAGAATATGACTAAGGTTATTATGAATACAATGTCATGATCACTCAAGTGTAAAATTGAACATAAGTTATTACAAAAGAATATGACTAAGGTTATTATGAATACAATATTACAATGTCATGATCACTCGAGTGTAAAATTGAACATAAGTTACTATGACTAAAGTTATCGTTAAAAGTCAATTTTTTGTAACTAATTCTTACTTTAGTAAATATCTTGTTATTTCTAATCTATAACACAAATGTAAGTGCTATACCTAGGCTCCACCTTTTCCGTCTTTCACTTCCCAATTTTGATTTATTCGTTAATTAAGATAGTACTACGTTGTTTCTGTGAAAATATGAATTCAACAGTGGTTTTAGAAACCAGGTGTGAAATATATTAAGCACAGTATAAATTATAAGAGTACAATTGTGATGAACTATTTGGTTGGACATTATATGTACAAATAAAAGTAACTTTTTATACTTTTACTTGTCACTTAGTTTTGCAATTTTGAATAATTTAGGAGTAAATTTCGTATAATTTCACTCTTGACATAGGTAAAATAAGTTGCAATGAATGGCTTTATGTGTTATTACTATTCTCAATGAAAACTGAAATAAATTAGGTGAATGATGATAATTGATAACAGGTAGATTTGGGGGAAATCTGGAAACCCCAAAAACTGACTGAATCAGAAATATTCTTCTCGATCAGGGTACAGATAATTTATGTTGTAAAATGTAAACATTACCACAAATTTGCACACGCGGGAATCACAAAATGAAGTCATTGTATTGATTCTTACTACGTACTGTACTACAATAATAGATATACATATATGTGTGCAGATGACATATTCAATTACATTCCCAAGCCCTTTATATAAAATTTGCTTTTTTGTAGATGTACAATCTTGAAAAGTACAAGTATCCGGCAAAGGTCATCGTACTAAGTCCAGCAAGAAGCCAATAGAAGTAGTCAAGATGTGCACGATTCAAGTTGTCTGAAAACCAGCTGTCTCCCCCACCTCTGCTACTGGTCTGGTCAATAATAGAGATCAGAAAGCTGCTTAGGAAACTTCCCACGCCAAAGATGCTGAGGTACAAGGAAAGGCCAATGCTTTTCAACTCAGATGGCATTTGATCATAGAAAAACTCTTGCAGACCAACCATGCTGAATGCTTCAGAAATACCAACCAATGTATACTGAGGAATTAACCAGCACACGCTAATGGGAAGTGTTGCCCCTGGTGAGTCAATCAACCCATAGTCCAAAGCAGTCTGAAGGCGTTTCTTCTCAACTATAGCTGCAACCACCATGGATGATATAGAAAAGACCATCCCCGTTCCTATTCTTTGAAGCATAGTTATACCCGAGGGTCTCCCGGTTATAGTTCTTGTGAAAGGGACCAAAACACGATCATATATTGGCATAAATACAACTACTGAAATGCAAATGAAACATTGATATGCAGCGGCTGGTACTTCAAGATTGGAGCCAATAAATCTATTCATGGTTGCTCCTTGTTTGGTGAATACGGTGGATGTCTGTGAAAACACAAGAGCATATCCCAAACATGTCACCCATATTGGAGCCAATCTGAGAATTGATTTTGCCTCTTCGACCTCATCCATACTAGAAGCTTTCCCATATCCCTTTGAGCCATCAGGAGCAATCAGTGCTTTGTTAAGGAACCTGCGATAAGAAAAAGAAAAGAACAAGATTAGACGAATGAGTCATTTATCCATTCTAAAGGATTAACCTAGTAGGATGAGTACCGAAGGCCTTACATGTAAATTTCTAGTTCTATATTTAGTCGAAGTGGACTTCTATATTTAGCCGATGTGGGGTCACTAATCATTCCAACAAGATTGTTGCTAATTGGAGCAAACAAATCATAAAGTTTGTGTTCTTTTTTGTGTCTTAGTCATATTGAGTTGCTCGTGTAAGCTTTTAGCCTTTGGTTAAAAAGCGACTTCTCGCACCTGAAATGAGGAGCATGCCATTAGACCAAACACTGACATTTGGATATTTTGAATGGGCTCAATTAACAAACCTTAGCTTCAGGATGTGAAGGTTGATGTTAGGAACCAGATTTATTATTCTTATTAGGAGCGTCCGGGTCCCTATCAGTTGTAAATCAGAGAAATTGGCCCCAGTGGTCGCAACAAGACAAAGTTACTCACGATTAATAAATGCAGTTGGACACCACCTTATAGTCCATCCTAGCATGTTACCCAAGCACTGGGATAGAAAAAAACTATAGTTCAAGTACAATGTTGAAAAATGTTTGAAAAAGGGAGGGTTAATCACGTACATGAATTGTTGAGATCCCTTGTTTCGTAGAACGCCTAGAACCTCGAGCTCCGTTAATATATTAGTTGTGCTGGCTTTGCGATTTGTAGCAGCATAAACAAACACGAGTCCAATTCTCACAAATGGGTTTTTATTATCACCATTTTGTCGAAAACGATAAGTGACAGTACCAAATAAAAAAGTAGCAAGTGCAACACCCATGATGATACAAGGGATTCCAAACCCAAGGCCCCAACTAAGGTAGTCTTGTATATAGGTTAAAACCAAGAGTGCCACAATAATGGCAAAGTTCATTCCGAAATACCACCAGTTGAAAAATGAGCTTTTGGCTTTATTCTCCTGTGGATCTTGAGTATCAAATTGGTCTGCTCCAAAAGCTTGCACACAAGGCTTGTGCCCACCTTGAGCTAGTCCCACCAGGTAAAGAGAAAAGAAAAAGAAGATAACTTCAAATTGAGAAGGAGAGCATGTGCCGTTATCTTTAGCACTTTGACAGTTGAAAGACTTTGAATGAAGAGCAGCTGATAGGGTTAAGAAGCCCAGTCCCTGCATCAGAACATATGATCGATAAAGATTTATATAATGCCTTAAAAATAAATCAAATTGTCTGGTCTTCATTTTCACTCTGGTAGAACTTAACGGAGCTAGTGATTGATGGGTAAATACTAAGAAACATAAAAAAATAGAACCGTTGATGAGAAAATATTGAAGAATGAAAATAACGGTGTCAACTTTAGAAATGTTACACAAAATATGTGTGAATGTGTCATATGAGCATATCATCTAATTCTAAAAGTGACTCAGGACAAATATGTATCATCATCATCATTTGTGTCCCAACTATGCTGGGTTATTGTCTTGAAATGCGTAGTGTCGGTGAATTGTCTAAAATTAGTTGACAATGTAAATTCATACAAAAACAACATGCAGATTTCGTAGAGATACATATTAACATTTTCTCTCTTTAATGTATCTGCTTTGACATACTTGTTCTCCCTCTTCAAAATTGTCCAAATTGGCTTCCTATTCTTTAATTTCTTAAGTGCTTATCCTGTTATCCATCGATCGACATGTGATCAAAGTACTGAGGAACATAACTTAAGTGTTTCTTAAGTGTTATCCATCGATCGACATGTGATTAAAGTACTGAGGAACATAACTGATAAACCATGAACAATTATTGGGTTAATTGTGATGGTATAAAGGATCAAATGGAGTGCATCTATAATTTGTGAGCGGATACAATAAGGAGCGTGAAGATTAGAAACCTACAAATCATGAATGCTTGATATAATCCTATAAAAAAAACAGCCCTGTTATTATTGGCCAAAGAAGCACAAACAAAGATATGATAATGGATGGCAGTTAGGGGGTTCAGATCGGGTTTGGATAGTAGTAGTGCAATACTCGGATTGGCTACCAGCCCATTTTATAACACAAAAATTGGCTAGATCTACTGGATGTCTGTATGTGTTGAAATTGCAGAAGTAGTGGTTGAATGGATGAAATAATTCAGTGTAAGCCGACCATTTACAAAGAAATTGATGCATACGAGTTCAATACCATGCTGTTAGTGCGTACTAACCATGACATATAATACGGAGGCGATGACAATGGTCCAGTATCTACCCAGAAAAGAGTCGGCCAGAAAAGCACCCAAGAGAGGCAAAAGCGACGCCGTTCCGGTCCAGGCATTCACATTCTCGGCGGCTGTAGCCGTGGACTGGCCGAGCGGGCCAGTCAGATAGCTCATGAGGTTCAAACCTATCCCATAGTACGCAAATCTCTCTGCCATCTCCACAACTAGTGCGGCAACAAATAACTTAAATTTAATAAAGGCGGACAAAAAATCAACGATGGTAAATTTGTAATGGGATTTTACAAAGAAGGGGAAGATGGGGCATAACCTATGATGAAAGAAGCTGATCTCCACCGACCGGATCTGGATCGGGTGGCAGGATGGCCCTTGTAATTCACGGAGCCGTCAACGAAATGGTGTTGCAGAATTGGGGTTTCGGCCTCCGGGAAAGCCGTTCTTTTTCCGGTAGCCATAGAAGGAAGACAAGTACCACGTTCCTACGGCACGCCAATGGGGGTGTGACATTCATAAGAACGTAGCAAGCAGTGAAAAGAAAGTCGCCAGCCGTCTTCATCAGTAATAGATGGAAAGAGATTGCTTGATGTATGGGGTGGCTTGCCTTGTCTGCAACTCCCTACAGTGGGTCTTACGTAGTATGTTTTTTGTACTATTCGATTTATTTTCTGGTTTCTTACCTAGAATCTCATGTTTAGATTCCATTTTTCTCACTAGATACCAAAATCTGTGTTGGACTGTTGGTGCATGTTTGATTCTGCCTTCCAAATTGTTTGACAATTGACACGCTTCTCTTTTTTCAAAATAAATATCACACATCCTTATTTACTCATTTGGTAAATAAATATATATCAATACAGTACAAAACAGTGAAAATAGTGTCAAACAATGTCAAATTCTTTCCCATAATCTCTGTGAAGTCGAAACGTGTCAACCATTTTGAAACAGAGGGAGTAATATTTAAAAAGTATTTAATGTACTATCTAAAAAGTTTTAAATAGTACATTACAATTTATAAAAACTTTTTGAAAAGAAAAATAATTAAAACATCTTAAACTTTGAAACAGTATGAGATAAACACCTCAAACTTTCATATGTAATTCAAATACTTTAAAATTTATATAAGAAGTTATTTTAAGACCATGATCATGTAATATTTCTTTCAAAAATGAATATTTATGATATATTTGCAAAATTTAAAATAATAAATTGAAAATGTTGCAAATATAAAGAGTGGGGGGAAATACTATTTATTTACAATGGAGTTTAGAATATTAATTGTATCTTCATGAATGCTAAAATATTTTAATTTATGAAATTAATACAAAAAGTAACATTTTGGAAGAAATAATGCATGATCATGGTGCTAAAATAATTTTTTTATATAAAGTTTGGCATATTTAAATTACATATGCAAGTGTGAGGTGCTTACCTCACATTCTTTTAAAGTTTGAAGTATTTAAATTATTTTCCTCTTTTAAAAATTAAAAGATCTTTTTAGATGCTACGGTGATTAGCACTTGATAAAAGTCTTTAACTTTTAGGATGTTAACTACGGAAGTATGGTCTGATCTGGTTTGTTTAAGTCTGGTCAGGTGTGGGACTGAAAACAGTCCAAGTAAACATCCTTAACATCAATTAGTCTCAACAACTTGTCAGCTTGTATACTAAACAAAACTAAATCAGATAATCAGTTTCTTTTCAAACTGGTCAATTCCCAACATAATTTTCATCGTTTCAAGCAAAAAAATCACTTTCTGTATCTCTTTTTTATAAATAATCTATGTCTTATAGCATAAATACTATAAAAAAATGTTAAGGGAAAAAGAATTATGCAAATAACAAGAATATGCATGTGAATACAATTAAATAAACATACTCCATTTGTCTCACTTAAAAAGTTCTCACACAATTTGCAATATTTGACTGTCCATACCTGGAAACTACATTAAAAGTTGTATTTAGTCGCAAAAAAACCAGATTTGATAAAAGTTGGATATATAAAGTCAAAGATTAAGAACATTTACGTTGACTGAATAATACTAGTAGTAGACAAGACCCTTTAGGTGGGACGAATGTAGTAGTAAAACTCCATTGTCATGGGATGAAGAGAAAATATGGTGAATTTTTTTAGCCGCAAATTGAAGATGGAAGAGTTTGAAAATAAATTAAAAGAAAAGTGATAATGAATTGAGAGCATTTTCAGAAGAAAACTAGGCCGCCCTCGGAATTGTCTGATAACCTAAGACATGGAGGGTTTAACATTCCCCTTCATATTACATCAGAAATGTAACTTTCTTGACCTTTTACAACTCCGCGGACCCACCATTGGCATCTAAAACATTTTTTGCACACATTCCATCCTTCGTTTGAGATTACCCCAAACCAAATAAGCCCTTAATATTTATTAAAGGGATAAATACCGTGATAGGACCAAAAGTAATCACTTTTCTCAGAATATGACCGAAGTTGTTTTTGGTCAGGCATATGACTAAAAAGAAATTAAGAATTTTTAACCGATTGAATGTGACTGCATTGATGGACAAAAATACCCTCCTAAATAAATGTGATTCCTTGCGGTATCGGTGAAAGCCAACAACAAAAAAGGCAAGGCCGATCATTGCTGCGGGAGGGAAAGTAGTACTAGTACTCCGTAATTAGCAACGCGGAAGTGTCGAGTGTGACCTATTATGCATTTAGTATAATGGTTTTTTTTGCACAAATATAATGGGTTTTATTAATGTGATATGATTTATGATTTTTTTTAATGTCAACCCATGTACCATACGTAATGAATTGGCTGCATGTTATTCCCTTACAAACAGAGTTGAATGGCTACATTAAATGAAGACAGTAGAGTTACTTAACGGCAGAAGTAAAATTATAAAATGCATATTTCTAATGCAAACACTAAAACATAACTAGTTATGACTAAAATACTTTTATTTAAAAATGTGCATTTTACATTATTTTTATACAATTAAAAATACTTTATATTGCCGTTACTGCATGACATTACTACACTTTCGATAACATATCACTGTACTTCCACCAACATTAGTTCTCTTCTCATTCGCTTTAGGAATTTATTTATAGTTCTTTTTTTAATTTTTTTTAGATTTAATAATTTAAGTATTTTATGTCTAATTAATTATATTGCATTTCATGCTGGTGATACTACTCTACATTACTGCATTACTTGTCATAATCATTACACTTTCCGCCAATGTTATAACACGATCTATTGCATCCAATTCAGTGCACAACACACTATCAATGCATTCCTTCATTGTCATGTATAGAATTACATATTGTCATATTCACTTCCCATATTCAACTAGATTTATCCTCACTGCCTATATTTAATGCCCGTGTTTAATGCCCACGTACAAAACTACAAACCCTAATTTCAACAAAACATAATTTCAAAAATAGAAAAGAAGAAGAAGATGAATGAGAATGGAGGAGATGGCTGGGCGGCGCGGATGGTTTGGGACGGTGGCTCCCATGTCTAGGGATGGCGGTGGCACCCATAGATCGGGACAGTGGTACGGTGGTGCACATGTCTATGGACGGCAGCGGGACAAGCGTGCGATTGGGCGGCGGCGGCGAGCAAGCGCGCGGTAGGACGATGGGGCGGGCAAGCATGAGGCTGGATGGTGGTGGCATGACGGGGCGGCGGCGGCGGCACGACTGGACGATGGCAGTAGACAAGCTTCTCCTGGGTCTACCCTTCTGCTTATGATCGTAGGTTTTGATCAATTGTAATGGATGCAATTGTTATGGACTTATGGATGGATGGTGGAGTATTCAACGGAGTAATACGTAATAATTGATTATATGGAACTAGCGTATTGTTTTCAATTGTTATGGATGGATGGTGGAGTACGTATTCAACAGAGTAATACGTAATAATTACTTATATGGAACTAGCTTTTTGTTCTCAGACGCGGTATTCGGGTAAATTTGGAACTAAGTAATAGATACGATATGTCTGATCATATGGATACATGAAAGAAATCATCATATTAGGGAAAAAACATATGAATCATACATTGAGAAAGATGATATCTTTTAGTCATATAAGGGGTAATAATCTCTTTATTAAAATGTGATTATCATTGTAATGATTTTTTAATAATATATTGTATGCCCTTTATTCCGGAAACAGACTCTTTGTGCTTTAGTACAAGCGTAAAACTGCATACATCCGACCCTCTCTTACCCCAACGTAGGTGAGAGCCTTTGTGGCATTGGGGTAATTTTATGCCCTATAAAGTAATTTTTATAAATTGTAGTCACCGTTCAACCTCTTTTTGTCAAGCGCTTCTACTTCATTCAGCGAACAATTCAAATTCAACATTTCAAGATTCAGTCCCCGAAAATAACTCTAATTCAGACAATAGCTCTAGATTCATAAATTAATCTCTAGCTCTAACTCGTTGTACCAAACATAGCCTAAATCAGAGATGTATTAGGAAAATGATGATAACAATCATTTTTAATCATAAAAATGCTTAACATGACTATATAAATCATTTTTTTGGAAGAAGGTGGCTTATATTGATATCACAACAATCACAAAGAGAACATAAATATTAAGGGTTTTTTACCTCAATATTAATAATAAGTGGGTGACTGACAAAAAAGTGACCTTTTATTCAAATTTCCAAAAATGTGACTCAAAGTTTTAACGGTACAATTATAACTGCTACAGTGACGTTTTATAGTGACAATGCTACAGTGATGATTTTACAGTGACAATGTTGTAGTGACGATTTTACAGTGACAACATCATAATGACTCCATTCCACGGTGTTTACCGCCCACCCACCCACCGCAGTGACACCGCCACCGGTGACACTACCACAGAATAACCACAGTGACACGCCGACTCCGACAATAGTGACACGCCGATTCCGGACATAGTGACACGCCGATTCCGGCCATAGTGACAGGTCGTATCCCCATCCCTCCCTTACTCACAGGAGTCACAGCCCCTCAGCCCCATCCCAGCCTACCTCGCCCTAGCCCGCTCTAGCACCGCCGCTAACCACCACAGCGGACCACCACCACTGGCCATCACCGTCGACCACCGCCCCACTACGGTTTGGATGGAGTGTTGAGAGGTGTTAATAATGGAAGTGTTAGTAAGTGTTCGCAAGAGCCCGGAAGGGATGGTAAGTGTAAGTGTAGAACCTAAACTTACATTGTTTGGGAAAGCTAAAAAATGAAGTGTTAATAATGGAAGTTTTTCAATTAAAATTACAATAATATCCTTATCTAAATCCTAAATTCAAAATAAATTGGAAGTTAAGCACAGATCGTGACCATCCTCGGTCTCAATAATTGGATGCCTGATGCCATTACTCCCCTCTCTCTGGTAATATTCTATCCTTTTGTTAGCGGTGGGAAGGAATTGCAATAGTGACTCGAATTGAAGAAAGAAGAATAGCAAAAGTTTCAATTCCTCTCCACTTGAATAATCGTTATTTAAGAATCGAAGAAGAAGATGCCACATAAATTGAACGCAGAAGAAGTTGAATTCCTTTCTAGCTAGTTCGTGTTCCATCCGCTTTGACGAAGAAGACCGAGTGGATAAGAAACAAAG